GATGACCCGGTTTCGTTGTGCGCAAAGCAGGGTGATGATGTCAACCTGACCCTGGGACTGCCGGATTTCATGCTCAGAGCAATGAACTTTCTGCAAGGGTGCATGGTTGGGAAGCACAATGAAACTTTGAAGGGCTCTCTGGCTGGATCCATGGGCCCACTGCAGGTGGAATCTTTTCTGGAGGCCGGCTCTGTCAAGTCCGTCTGGAGTGAGATCGAGAGCAGCCTGGCGAAGGCCAATGGGGAGCCAGAAGAGCGAACTCCCGCGACCGAGCAGGAGAAGAGCAAGGCGGAGCAGGCAAAGCAGAAGCAGCAGGAGAAGCAGGATACCCTGAAGGTTCTTCAGGCGGACGCCCTGGAGGAGGCGGAGCGTCTCCACGACCAAAGGTCCGTCCTCCTGGTGCCCGATACGGACCACCCCGTCTCTGCTTTGCTGGACGGCCAGACGTTGGTGAAGCTGGGAAACCGCATGTTGGGCTTCTTCGACTGTAAAAATCACGGGCTAGCTCGTGTGTATGCTGGACAGAACTGCTTCCAGAGGGTGCCTTGCCTCAAGCATCATGAACCTCAGGTTGTTCCACTTCTCCAAGCCGAAATCTTTTTGCTTCTTCTCCACTGTGCTTGGCTTAGGTTCCCGCCATCAGCAGTGACGATTTCGAGACCTTTCTGAAGACCTGGCTCCGGGTGCACACCAAGAGTCAGGACTTCGTGTTTGTGCTCACTGGCAAGGTCAGAAGCAACGAGGCAGGGCCCGGTGCCATGTCATTGGCATACTACACGGACAGCTCACTAAGATGCTGATGTGAACTGTTGTTCAACCGTCCAGGTCATGGTCGAGAAGCTGCTGGTCCGTCACAAGCTGAGCTTCAAGCGCCTGATTTTGGTTTACGACGAGGCTCAAATGCGATCGGCGGGATACTACAGTCGGATCCGGGGGTTTGCCAATGCTGCCTCCTCCGAAGTGGCGTTCGTCGCGTGGACAGGCAGACAACCGAAGCTCGGTGTCCGCACCCGTGTGTACGTCGATGTGGGCTCGGATGTCTACAGTGACGTGCCGCTTAGTTCTCCAATAA